GACTGTGCTTTCTCTCTTCTGTCATCTGTTCTAATGGATTTCATAGCTCCTCTTCACTTCTATTTTATTTAAACATTCAAATGAGAAAACATTCATAATTTTTAAGAGAGAGAGAAAAGTAAATATAGGAAAATAAGATATCTTAAATTAATTTGTTTTTATTGGTCATGCATTGAATATTTAAATAGTCATATTTGAATTTAATTTTCATTTTTTATTTTTTATTTTCAAAAAGGAATTTTTTTTTCTAAAAATATCTCTCTTTATATACATATTTTATCTATACACTTCTCAACTTAAATACAAAAAATTTAACTCGTCCTCTTCAAATTTTCTTCAAAATATCTACAACCATTTAAAAATTTATTTACACCAATAAATGTTAAAGCACTACATAAGAAAAAAATTATAAATAAAAAATAAAATCAGTGTAGATAACACTATTCACAAAAAAAAAAAAAAAAAGAATCCCCAAATGAAGGATAATTTTAAGAATTGATAATTTTTTCCTCCATTTTTAATAAAATGCTTGAAAATAGTGTCTATCTTTTTAATAGAATATTTCTTTAAAAATTTATTTAACGCCAATAAATATTAAAGCACTTCATAAAAAGAAAAAATTAAAAAAAATTAAATCAACGTAGATAACTCTATTCACAAAAAAAAAAAATTATTATCCCCAAATAAAGGATAACTTGGAGTGTGGCCGTGTGGGGGAAGTGAGGTGTGAGCGTCGAAGGGAAAGATGCCCGTATATTTATAGCCGGTCGACGGCAATGATCCACGGGGTATAGCCGGTCAACCGCATTAACGCGGTCCTAACGTAGCGTAACGTCGGGGTCTAAGAAAAGCCCACCTGCCAAAACGGTAGCAGGCGACCCAAGAACGAAAATAAAATTAAAGGTTTGCATTCAACGGTCTGATTGCATTCCACGTCAGCCACGTGCTCTTTCTTTGAAATGTAGACCGTTGGATTGTGGGAATACTTGACCGACTGCCCTGCCATGGGAATCTATTGTTTTATGGTAATGATTTTGACACTTAGGTCAAATTAAATGCTTACTCATAAATTTGGGTTAGTTTTTAAATGGGAAAAAGTGTAAAAATAGTTTCATTAGGGGTTTCTCAAGGCTTGTTAGGATTTAATGGATCTTCATATGCTAGAGAGATTAATCTGCGTGGACATAGAACAGCTTATTGTCTAAAAGCCAATTAGGTGCAGCCACGTCATCCAATATTGAGCAGTACCGAGCTCGGTACTCAGTATTGAGCAATACTAAGTTACGATACCAAGTAGAGGTGATGAGGCGCATTTTAATTAAGATATGGATGGCATTCGATGTCTGCACCTAATAATTTCACTAGATATGCTGACTACGAAATCTGAAGACAACTTGAATTTGTTTATCTCACAAAGAAGATTGCCATTTATATGTGATATAGATTTAGTTTGGATTTTTTTTTTTTTTTTTTTTTTTTTTTTTTTTTTTTTTTTTTTTTGCTACTTTCTAAAACATCTTCTTAATATGAGAAATTAAAAAAAATTTGTTTAAAAAAAACCAGCAATAAATTGCCTTCTCAAAAAGAAACTATAAATAATGGGAAACTGCTGCAGATTGATGCCCAGAAACTCTTACCATTAACAGTCAAAATCACTATTTAATTAGGATGTGAAAGTGGCACATTTATCTACATGTTTTATTTTTCCTTCTTTATTCTATTGGATTAATTTTTTGGGAATTTATTTTTTTTAAATGTAATTAGATTATATTTTCCATGCAACGCAAATAGTAATGTTTCTATGTTGTTGTTGTTTTTTTTTTTTTTGAAATTGATTGTATTCCAATAATTTGAAGTTATACTTAAACTTTTATATAAATGTTACAATTTGATATCAATATTTATTATAGACTAAGATTTTGTTTGAGATTATTTTCTTACTATTTTTTAAAGCATTTTTTATTAAAAAAAAAATAATATTTTGTACTGAAAATTATTTTAAAAATAGTTAAAAAAACCGTCACAAACGAATCCTAAAAAAAAGTTTTCGCAATGCTAATTTTAGACGATTTTTCAATTGGAGAGAAAGGAAATTACAGCACTACATTTAGCAGTGATAAAAAAACTCTTTAAAACTAAATCTTTTGCATATATAAAAAATTTATCGAAGATAGCTTTTAATCTTTATTTTTTCACATTTTTTTAATTTGTGAGTAATTATTATATGACTTAATTGAGATTAAAAATAAATAATTGCATTATAATACAATAAAACATACAAATTTATAATCACAAAAATAGCTATGACTATAGAGTCAAAAGAATAAAAAAATAATAATTTTAATCATAATTCAATTTTAAAATAAATAAATGATATTTTTTTTTAATACAACCAACTTGTTTGCTTACCTATTCAAGAAAAAAATATCATTTTTAAAATATCAATGTATGGGAAATTTTTTTATAATTTTCATATTAAATATAATAATAGTTTCATGATTAACAAATAAAATATAGTAATTTTCATTATTTATTAAATAAGGATAGCTAACTCTTGCATATAGATTAAAATTTTCTTGACATCTTTATATATATATATATATATTAAATTTCCTGAAAGTTTAATATTAATATTTGATTTTCCTAAATCAAAGCCTAATTACAAACTTGACTAATTAATAAATAATATACCAATTTTACAATAAATTTTAATGGAGATATCGAGAAAATAAAAAATCTATTTGTTTTCTTGATTAAAAACCTTATTTTAATATGCATATTAAAATTTTCAATTTATTGAGCAAAATAATTACTATTCTTCAGCACAAAATTCTTAAACAATAATTTTATTCTAAAAAAATAAAGTATAGATCTCTTTCAAAAATTATTTGTTTCATGCTCTTTCAACTCATGTTTAAAAATGTTTCTAAATATATAGCATGTTTTTATTCGATTTATTATGAATTCATTTGTTTGTGTGTGACGTGTTGAGCTTGAGCTTAGCTCGAATTAGTTGAAAAATACTAAAATTTAATTTTTTAAATAAACCATAAAAAATTAAAATAAAAAATTTTATTACTAAAATTTTATTTTAATAACAATTGATTAAGCTCAAAATTTAATAATAAACATATATATATATATATATCTAAGTTTATTTTGTTTATTTACAAAACTATCCATTTTTCAAATCCATTAATCAAATTTCTTCCCAATATTATAATCCACAACAAAATTATCATTTTTTATTCTTAATATTTTATAAAAATTTCATAATTTACAACACAAAAAAATTAAATGTTGGATTTAACATTTTAGAAACTCAAAGAATTAAAATTATAATTATGCATATTTGCTATGTTTGATTTGTAGGAATTAGAAATATAAATTCATTTTAGTTCATAATTTGATATTATTTATAGATAATCATTATTAAGTAATATTGCGCGTTAAAACTTTTATAACTGTGGAGTGTTTAATATATTAGTTTAATACAAAGACCCAACACACAAATAGTGGTACGAGACATTCATTAGAACTATTTATACAAAAAACCTAATAACGAAAAAAATCACAAGGCCTATCATAGTTGCAATAATACACTAATTTTATATACAAGAATATGCTCTTCTCCGCAATTCAAAAAGACGTGATCGCATAGTTAAAAATAATTGTCTAATTTCCTTTGTAGAGATAACGGAAATCGGTTGTCCACATGAGAGCAGATGAAATCGAATAACATAATGGATGTTTATAGCCAAGAAACAATAATCGAAAGAAGGAAGTTAGATGATTATGACGACAATTATTATGATAGTCATCAATGGTGATCACCAAAAAAATATAATTGACTTATTTAACTCTCTCAAATCTCAAACCTACTTCATTGAATTCGTTTTATCGAGATATTTAATTTGACAATAAATTTATTACCAAAATTTAATTCTAAAAGTTTTCAATTCAAATCTTACTTTACGATTCATGTTGATCGAATGAATTTCATGCACAGATATCAAACTCATATTTTTATTAACTTCCCATCCAAACCTAATACTCCTCAAAAGACCTAAAAAAAAAAACCACATTCTAATCAACCAATAAATAACAAAATAAACCAATCAATTTCTCTTTAAAAGAAACAAGTGTGAACATTAATTTAAAATCAATTCCTCTCTCATTTACTCTTCTAATTCCTTCAAACCAACAAGTCCTAAGCAAAATTTGGCTATGATGAAACCCATTATCTCCACCATTATAAGAAAATAATGCAATAATGTTTGGCTTTTTGTTTTAATAATATAAAGATTTGAATTTGATCTTTTGATATTCAAAATTGTGAAAAGATGTTGCAGATTTTATGATTGTGTGAATCTTTTTAAATGATAAAGGTAGAGCATTAATGACCTAATAGTTTGTTGCAATAATTGCCCATATCATAATGAAATAAGAATATTACAATAAAGAGAGAAAAAAATAAATGAAAGAGTTTCTTTTTTTTATTTTTGGATACAAATATCAAAAGTTGATATTTTGATGTTGCATAATGTGGTGTGAATCTTGGATTTAGTTTGTGACAGCTTTTTTACTACTTTTAGTATACAATTTTTTTTTTTTTTAAAGAAATTTTTGAAATAAAAAATTACTTTTAAAAAGCAATAAAAAAGCTATCTCAAATAAAACTTTATTATTGCTTCATTTGAGACAACTTTCCTAATCCTTCTTAAAGCAGCTTTTTAGTACAAGAAAACTATTTTAAGAAGCAGTAAAAAAGCCGTCCCAAACAAAATCTAAATGATTAGAATAATGCATTAGTGATCTAATAGTTTATTGCAAGAATTGAAACATACCATAATAGAATTAGGAGATTCCTATGGACTGGGATTAAGGTCATGACATTCAGTGGATGACTGACAAAATCTGGACATTTTGCTCTATGAGATAGATTGATTCAATTAACAAATTAGCACAGATAAAAATGAAGGTGTTATGAGATTGCTTGATGAATCCAAAGTGGCTATGCCTTTAACTTGAAGCCTGTTTAATGGAAAATAAAGTTTGAATGCTAAGTTGAGCTTCAATACTCTTAAAAGATTATGTACTAATGATCATTAAAAAAATACCTGCAGGAAAACTCTTACTGTTGTAGAATGTTCAATACTCTTAACAGGAGCTTATAAAGAATTCAGCATTTCTTCAAAAGAAAATTGATGTTGACTTTGCTTCTCTGAATCATTTTTATTACTTTGATGTTCTGATACTGAATCTTTAAGCACATCTAACTCACTGGTCTCCTTGCAAGCAGGCCTAATCTTAGTCTTCCATCTGATCCCAATTGCTTCTGCCTGGTCCGCAAACAAAATCTTCGACGTCGACGCCGATGAGCTACAAATGTCCCTGTAAGTATCGTAATCAGCGGCACGAGTGTTGCCGCCTTCCAATAGCTTTGCAAGGGGATGCAAAACCGATACCGGCCCATCGTCTTTCTCCAGCATGTCCTTCAATACCAAAAAATCATTCACCAGCTCCATTTTGTTAAACTGAATAAGAGCTGCAGTTCTATCAAGAAAAAACACAGAGATCAAAGAAGCTGTGCCAAACACCTTGCACAAGCATTCCTCAATATCATTTGGTTTAAGCTTAGATGAGAAACCCCAGATAAGGGCAATGTTTGCATATTCTATTTTTAGATATTTGCGTTTGTAAGATGAAACTGGGCTCTCTGAACCTGTTCTTAAGTCGATTACTGTTCCACTGTTCCAACTAGGGTACAAGATATTGATGTAGCTCTTCAGATTATCATTCCTTGCCAGATCCATTATCGACGAGTCCTGCTCGAATTTGATACCTAAATGACTGCAAGCTTGAGCAAAGACACATCCGGTCATAAAAGCATCAAATCCAGCTTCATGCTTTGCACCTGAATTCCAGGAAGATGATCTACATGAGAGAGAATCAGTTACACAAAGCTAAACCAAAAAAACTAATCATAACCACTAAGAGGTAAGCCAAGTAAAATAGATTACTTCAGAGAAATAAAATTGGTAGTTTTCAAACATGGCAAAAAATAGTTTTTTTCTGTGTTTGCGTTTGCCAGTAACTTAGCAAAGTTAAACAAAATTGCTTGCTAAAATCTGAAAATCAGTCTCAAAGTTTGGTTCACATCAATGTTTGATCCTCTGAGCTTTAGAGGAAACATATGACGTTTCAGAACCTTGACGACTTTATTAATCAACCCATATCCAAAATGGTTGTTTTTAATGAAAGCCATACTACAAACAACCAAATGATTCTCAAGAAACAAACTACAAAATATACTTCAGTAAATACTCAGATTACATTTTTTTATTCTGAATGTACTCCATCAATATAGATGACATGTTTTTATTTAATAAAAAATGTATGGCATTACACATTAAGAAAACTTGAGCCTAACATCAGCTAAAGGCTATGCTATACAACAACAACAACATCAAGCCTTTGTCCCACTACATGGGGTCGACTACATTAATCTTTTTTTCTCCATTGTGTCCTATTAAAAGTCAAATTCTCGTTTAAATCTAATAAAGAAATATCTTTTCTAATATTTTCTAACCAAGTCTTTTTAGGTCTACCTTTACCTTTCTTAATATAAGTCAAATCTAATACCTCCACTTTCCTAACCGGGTCATCAGAAGGCCATCGTTTTATGTGACCATACCATCTAAGGAGACTCTCTCTAATCTTATCTTCCAATGGAGCTACTCCAACCTTTTCTTGTATATGCTCATTTCGTATCCTGACTCTAAGGGTAAATCCACTCATCCACTTGAGCATCCTCATCTCTGCAACACTTAACTTAGTATTATGCTTCTCTTTTAATAAGCAACATTCTATACCATAAAGAATTGTAGGTCTCACCACCATCTTATAGAATTTTCCCTTAAATGTGAGGGGGACTTTTCTATCACACAATAAGCCCAATGCATTCCTCCACTTCAAAGATGATATGCATGGACTAAAAAGGGAATTAAACACAAAATATACATAACTGGAGCTCATAAAATGCAAAGATTTTAAATGCCTTTAAGATGTAACTTGTGAAACAGAAAATTGTGGTTGTTCTTCAAAGTATCAAGAACATCCCGATGCCTAAAATTCATAGCTAGATGTAGGGGGAATAAATATACATGCACATTGAGTGTGTTGGTTTGTGTGTTTCAGTGTACCATATTAAGTATGCTAATCTAGGCCATTTATGAACAATAGCAAGACATTATACTGTAAAACGGCAATAGACAATAGCAAAAGAAAGACTCCTTAATGAAGATAGAACTACTACCCCAGTTCATCAGCTTGAACATCGACTTTAACAAATGAACGAGTAGAAGCCAAATTCTGAGATGTGGAAGATAGTTGTGGGCACAAAAGAGAGAAGGCAGATGACAATGATTTCTTTTTCTTCTTCATCAAATACTGAATAAAATTGTTAGAACTTATGAGGTGCTTGGTGTCGATAATGTGGGGAAGTATCTTGTTGACTGATAAAGCAAATTCCTCCATCGACGAAGGAAGAGGACCAATAATAAAAGAAACATGGAAAGTTGCAATTCTTCTTTACTAATAATATCCATCAAAATTGGCAAAAACGTTCAGCATTTGAGTATAAAAACAAACTTCACCTTTCATTTTCAATTTCGTACCATAAGAGATGCCCTATCCTCCTCAGAATCCGTGTAAACTACTAGCTTCTGTGAAGAACAATTTTCACCACTTACACATAAATACAGGAGGTCCTTGAAGTATTTTCTTAAAACCTGCACAGTAATAACTGTCCATCCGTTGGCTCAAATTAAGAAACAAAAAAATTATGGTCACCAGAAATAGAATAGTGATAATAATTCATAAACCGCAATTTAAAATGTAATCAGTCATATGCAACCTTTTTACACACTGAAAAGGTTAACCAACAGGCTGAAAAAAATTAGAAAAGTTCACCATGCAAAGTGCTATAAAGATAATGATTAAGGTTAACCAAAAGGATGGCAAATTTGTAGCCTGAGGCCTTAATCAACTTAAAAAATGCAAACTTAACTCCAATCAAAACAATTTAGGCCACGTTTCGGACAACTTTCTTATTGCTTTCTAAGGTAGCTTTCTAGTACAAAAAGTTCTTGACCTAGAAAGCAGTAAGAAAGCCGTCCCAAACAAAGCTTTAATCGCAAAGTCCGCAATACCTGTTGCATGCAACTCGAATATTCCTAGAGAACATAACTGAGTTTCAACCTGAAAAGCAAATCCCATCTTGAGTTTTTTTTTTTCCTAAATATTTCTTTTTCCAGATTACTTGCAGTTCGGATGAAAATTATCTGGAACAATTTTGTATAAATCAGCACAGAAAGCAACCAAAAACCTTGTTTAACCATCTGTATGGCCCGGCATTCATTTAGTCTTTGTCATTTCTTCAATGGTAATAAGAGATGCAATATAATGAAGAGAAGTTCAAATTACAAGTCATGCATACCAAGCAGATAAACAGAAAGAAAACCGGCGACACTTCTTTACCTCATCCATTAGTTGAAGGAGTTCAGGTTGCAGGAAGGATATAGTTCAAAATAAATGACAGCCATAGCCCAAATCAATATACAGTTACTATTATCAAGTAAAAAAATGACGATAGAATATAAATATAACAACTAGAAGCAAGCAATCATACAAGAGATGAATTTTCATCAGGAACTACAAGAAGGCCAAACTGTATAGAACGTCATGTAAAAGGCATTTCTTAGCAGTAAAATTCAAATAAAATCATTACCAGTTGAATCAGCTTAAGCTGGTGGAAGGTGAATCCATTCAACATTATAGCTGGGTGCATTTTGAAGAAAACCATCTGAAAGTCCACATTGTGGCCACAATCGTTTCCTTCTAAAATAGGATCTTCTGGATATTTCAACACATTCTCACGCCATTCATGAAATCTAATTTTCATCCTTTCTGTAAAAAAAACATCTGCAGTCCGCACTGCGGGTATTTCAACGTATTCTTCAGACTCGCTTGAGAAACCAAGCAAAGCATTCTCATAAGCCGAGCACAGGTTCTGTAGAGCCTCTTCTTCTTGTGTTTTAGATAAATAAGAGATTCCTGAAATTACACAAATATTGTAAATACTTAAATAGTCAAGCATATTGTTCTGGTTTTGCTTGTAAAGGATGATAATGATCTTTTGTGCCATACAGGGCTATTTAAGAGCCTGCTTAGTTTTCTGCAAGTTTTTGGAGGCATTCTTAGGGGTAAGTCACTTCAGTCTAGGAAGTGATATACACAGATTTTGTCATCTCAACTTCCCCTTAAACTGGTTGGAAGTCATTTATGATACTTGCACTCAAGATGTGAGTACTTCCATTTACATGTAACCAACAAACCCTAAACAACAATGAGAAATTACTAGGTGCGGACACCATATGCAGAGAACCGTCTGATTTTCTCTTTGTTTACAGTAAAAGCACAGTCAAAGCGCAACTGCTACAGTAACTGTGCTTTGACTGCACTTTTACTGTAGACAGAAAGAAATCTGAATGATTCTCTCTGTCTGGTGTCCGCACCTAATAATTTGCCCTAAACAATAGCATGAATAGCACCATTTAAATTGCCAAGGAACTTTCTAGTCATTTGATCATGTTGGATATCAATAACGTCTAAAAACGTGCTTAGTAGAGTATAGACGAATAAATCTGATAGCTAGGCGATTTTCGTAATTTAAATACCAAAAAGATAATTGATAATAACTGAAACATTACATACCTTCATGTATGCAAGCATTGAAATCAAACTGGTATTTAGCTAGAAAACTTATTGAAGTTGTCTGGCAAAGAAATTCATCAGTTGGCCCTTCAACTGACAGCACTTTTCGAGGAAATATATAAAAGTTAAGCCTGCCACACGTTAGACAGAACTTCATCATATTTAATGATTAAAAAAAACTTAGAGAGAATATACACAACAAAATGTCATATCACAAATATAGAAATAGAGTTGTTGGGTCTCAAGATAATAAAAATCAGCTATTTTTCCCTAATAGTCAAGCATCTGTTTCATGATCATTACAAAGTTGGCCGCATACTTAATTAACTTGCAACAAATAGCAGTTCATCTTAAGATGATCATTTGTATACACATACTGTTCTGAGATTTTGATTTACTAAGCTTTTGTTTAGCTCGATGGCCCTGTTTTGAGTGCACCCATCAGCAAAATGGTCCCGGTAGCTTTCTTAAGGGGAAAGCAAAGTACTGCCTAAACTGCCAACTTTCCCCTCCTTTTTGCAGCAGATGGGTAAGAATAGCCAACGCTCGTGAGTTCGCCAAACAACACATCACTTGAAGGTCATCAAAGAAAGTGAAACAATGATAAGCATTCAAGGGCGCAAAGATGCTGTCTAAGTCTGCAAAGAAAGTTGCAAAGGAAACCAAAATATTTGCTCTTCACAAGTATCATAAACTTCAAAAATAAGGGACCAATACCCTTCCACATTCACAAGATTATCTTTGATATAATTTTGAGAACTTTTCATAAGCATGTAAGCTTTAGTTCCTACAGTAAATGTAGAAGAACACCTTTCCAAGGATATTCAAAAGGCTTGTGGTACTCAATGGCTCAATGCATGCATATGCAAGGTTGTTATTATTATTTAAAATGAAGCAAAGATTACGTCACCTAAAAGGGCCTGCATAAAATTTCTGCTCAAATCTCAGGTATACTATGTAACAATCATAAAGCACATGTATGATAGACAAAATCCCAGGATCTTAGAGGATTCTTAATATAATTCTGTTGCCTAGCATTTGAGATACCAAGTATTGTAAAACAATAGATGTGAAAAGTTTCATTAAATAATATAGGACAATATTTTCACACAGCTATTGTACCAAACCGTGTCCGACAAGGCAAGAGATGACAGAACTATATGGAATAATAGAACATACTTCCATTTGAGTTGCAATGCAAAGCTTCGTGGGCATTGGAGAAAAAAGAACAACAAAATATTAACCATAATGGAAACTTAATTTAAAAAACTAAGAGTAGTACAGAAAAGAAACTTATGATTTAAATTTATTTTTCTAACATGAATGCTTTAGTTTTGAATAAGATTGTCATTAAATTTTAAAAAAAAATTGTAGATTTATTGCATTTTCTCTAGTATGTTTTTAACAATCCTAAAGAAAAATTTGGATCCACCAAATGAATGCAACAAAATGATCTCTACATACATCATTCAATAATGATTTTACTATCAACGCACCCATGCATTTACGAGAAGGACAAAGTTGTCCAGGATCAATGTTATCAATGTTCTAAATCGTCGTCATCACAAATTATAAATGTAAGTTTAAGTTGGAGTGAGTAGCTTGATATTAAAATAACACAAATAAGTTAAACAACAAAGTTTCCCTTTGATTGTTTTTCTAAAATTCATAAAGAACATAAATGCCTTCAAATACAGCATTAAAAAAAAAACTGTTGGATTAGGTAAATTTAATCAAAGAGGGGGACTAAAATAAATTTCATTTTACCACAAACTTTTAATTATATGACCTCAATATGCTGTTATACCTTTGATTACGAACCCAAAAAAAAAAACATCAACAAAAAGATATGCCTTTCTACATAGGCATCAGCCAAAGTAGCCATTTTTAAGAGAAGCAAAATTGAAATAAACAAGAAAAAAAACTCACGGGTGGGCGATGAAGGAGCCCTGGCAAGCATCCCACCGAAAAGTGCAAAGACCAAACTGGACAACAGCAAACTTCTCGGCGGAATCCTTCACCTTGAGATACCGCACGTCCGAGCGATCAAACTCGAACGAATCACGCCACGGCGCGCTAGTTACACCCGTCATCTCCAGATCGATGGCAACGAAATCCGCCTCCCGGATTCGGATTCGCAGGTCATCGAGAACCGAACAAAAGTTGGACAAAGTCACCTTTTTTACCGCCACTGAGACGCCAGAACCGCCGGAAGTGGTAGTGGAGGCGGCGGAGGATAGAAAGCGGTGGAGGTGGCGATATTGCGCAGAGGTTATGGTTTGGGTAATGGCGCGGCTGCCGAAAGCCCTAAACCCTGAAAGCGCCATGACCTACTCATTTACAGTTTACATCGGCTATGGAGTTCAGGTATTATTTAGCTTGAAAGAGTATAAAGCAAGACTTTTTAATCTTATTAATATTTGATTTAAAATAAAATTAATGTATTATAAAATTTTTGAGTATTTAAAATCTATCATTTAATTTATTTTTTGATGTATTTAAATTTCTTCAAATTTAAATGAGTTCTAAAATATCAAAAAATTATTTCAATTGTCGCACCAGCCACCATAGCAGCTACCAACAACCACCAGCCACCGATAAGAAAAATATTGGCCACCTGTTATCATCTTATTTTTACTTTATATTACATTTATTTTATATCAAATCAAACAAGAAAAAAAAATCCCATGCATTTCTTTTATAGTCGTCCAAACAACTCCAAATTATTTCAGTTGAAGGGATAATAAAAATACAAATAATATTTTTTAGATCAATTTTATTATTTTTATTCAAACATTAAATTCATAACAATCATCAAATTCTCATTAATATGATCTGAATTCAATAGTTTATTTTATTTTTAAGGAGAGTGATAAATTGATGAAAGAAATTTTGATTTTTATATAAATCACAAATCACAATGCATTTAATTTGAGAAAATATCTTGATTAAGAATGATAAATTTATTTTAAAAAAAATTAACATTATATAACTCGAAATGCAAGTAATTTGAGAAATATCTGTGCTATTATTTTTTTCCGAAAAATATGTTTAAAAGGTTCTTTCTCATGAAACTAGTCCCAATAAGAGATAGTATAAATATCTCGTAGGTGCAAAATGACTAGTGTTTGAAATTGGTTCGAACCTCTTGAGAAGGTTGGTTCTTCTAAGATGAATTCAATCTTGCTTGGATCAAATCTCAGGGATTTGCTTTCCCTAGTGAGAATTTTTTTCTCTTTAAGCTCTCTTGCCAAGAGGACATTGATATAGTATTGGAGGTGATCATTTCTTCTAAAATGATTAACCTTTGTTTTTTGAAGAAGTGGATGTTGAATTTTATACATGTTAAGGGCTAGTTTGTTGATTCCAAAATAGAATAAATTTCCTACTTTTCTTCAAGCTGGTGAAATGAGGATAATTTATCTAGAGTTGCGAGCAAATTAGGCCCACCTCCAACAACTAATGATTTAAGTATTTAACCATATCAAAATTCAGTTTCACTTTTGCTTGTGTGTGTCAAAATTAATCAATATTCTACCCTCCAAGACTTTATTCCTATTAAACTTAGTGGGATCAGATTTAACTAAGGAGTTCATGATGATTGAAAACCTTAAGCTTGCATGGCTTGTATGTTTTTTGCCCATGATAACAACTCATGCCTCAAAATCCATTAATAAATGCAAGTCACTATGTTTAGGAGTGGAGGTAAAAGTCAAGCTCCCCAAAAGGATTTTTAAATGCTTAAGCCCACCCTAGGTAGTTATCCCTTAGAATTCTTTGACCAGTTGTAAAGTCTAAAACTCTTCATGACCCTCATCAAAGAAAACTTATTCCATTTCTTATGACATGGGGACCTTAACGAACCTCGAGCCCCTCCATCTATATCCTCAAACACTTTCAATGCATCCCACTCTAAATAGTCTCTTCCAATGGCCTAGGCCACTACTACCATATTTTTTAATACTTTTCAATAGGAAACTCCTAAGAATCAGAATACTTCAAAACATCGCACAAGAGAAAGGCAAAAGACTTGCATAACAAACAATAAAACCCCTTTTTACCATTATGTGAATTCCCTCCATTAGACTTTGGAATATAAGATATATTCTAATCACTATTTTGAACCTAGGTTCAAACACATATTCAACCTAGTACAAACATGATTCATATCTTATTCAAACTCAGTTTGAATCAATGTTCAAACATGAGTTTGAAATCAATTCAATCCAATATTTGAACCTAATTCAAACCTCTTGAAAAATGAGTCAAGTAATCATCCTAACCCTCGCTGGCAAAGTTGAGCACGACTTATATCCTCAACATCATCATCTTCATATGAAACATCGTTACCATTTTTACCAAAGCTAAGTTTGAACCGACCTCTGTCAGTAGTCTCTACTTTGTTGTTGTGATGACCTCTGAATGTTTATTCTTCTCTAATTAATTTGATATTACATGAGCTATATTTGATGGATATGCTTCTTTCAATTGACCTCATTATCAATCCATTGTCTCCTCTCCTTCTATTTTTTAACTATAGTTGACATCACAAGATACTCCACAATCACAATTTCACCCTCACATTAATCCATGACAAAATAGAGATGATGAGAGACAAATGCGTACACACCGCTAGACATCTTCCACTAGCAAGTTCTCATTGCAAACTATTTGCTTCACCCCCTCTCCCTTTTTTTGACCAGCCATTGAGTTCATCACTATTTTTGTTATAGTATTTCTCTTTTTTTTTCAACAACTCGTTGGAGTGGTTATATGCCCCTTCACTCTTCTCTATCACGACATTTCCCCTTTTTCCTATAACCTAACTTTCATTAAAATCTCAACACTATGAATCTTGATCTTTCAAATATTTTCCCATCAAACTTTTATTAAAGATCAAGGCTCTTTTCTTCCACGATAGTGTATGTATTTTGCAAATTAACCAAGAATTAATCTTAATGGGATCAAATTCGTTCTTAATGGAATATGCATAATTTAACCAAGAATTTCAAAATGATTAGAAACCTAAGAATTTAATCTTAAGGCACATTCATATTAATCTTAATGGGATCAAATTGAACCAATAATTTCTAAATGATCAGAAACCTAAAGATTGTATATCTGGTATGTATTTTGCAGATGATAACAACTCATGCCCTAAAACCCATCAACAAAAGCATGTGGCTATCCATTGGGACAATGGTAGGAGTTAAGCACACCATTAAAAAAAATTATGTCTGAGCCCCCTTCAATAATTATCCCTCATAATCATCTAGCTATTAGTTTCCCTAATAAGTTTGAAACTCCTCTTAACCTTCCTCAAAGAAAACCACTTCCTCTTTTTCAATGGTGAGAGACCTTAACCAACCTTTAACTCCTCTATCTACTTCTCTAAAGGCTTTCAAAGCCACCACCTTTGAATATTCTCTTCCAATGGCCCATAGACTAACCCAAACTAATCTAAGAATCACCATAATACCTTAACAACTATACAAAATTGATTACAAATGATCTCTCGTATAGAAGTTGACAAAAATTAAAATCCAAAATTGATCTTAATTTACTTTCTATTGTATATAAAATTGATCCCAATCTATTCCCTAAGGAATTATTTAAGATCAATTTTGATATGCACTTAAGCTAAATGGGTTTGATATTTTGAGATTTTTTTTGACATTTTCTCTACTGTTAAGTCTCCTCTAATTGTTCTTTTTCTAAGCTTCCTGCTATGTTATTCTTTAGTTTTTTCAAGAGAAGTTACGATTTTATTTGTATGTCTTTACTTCTATATATCGTTTTGCCCATTTTGGTAACTTGTTTTTTTTACTAATGAAGATTGGATTCTGCTTTATTTTTCATAATAAAATCTCAGGTCAGAAAAATTCTTAAAATTATTTTATTTTTCTACTCTTTTTTTTTTCTCTGGCCACTTGAGAAAAAAATTTTAATAAAAATTTAGCAAAAATGATCAAATAGGAAAAATTCTTTGTAAAATAATTGCCTAATACCGGCTTAATTTGGGGCAACTTTTTTATTAATTTCTAATGCAGCTTTTTAACACAATTTTTCAATTTAAAAAATTTTACCAAACAACTTAAAAAAAAAAGCTATTTTTTCCCTGCTTTCAAGATATTTTTATACTAATAAGTAGTTTTACAAAGCATTAAGAAAGTCATCCCAAACAAAACCTAAGATTTCATTTGAAAAAGATTTTTTACTACTTTTTAAATCAATTTTTTAGTTGAAGACAGTATTTTAAAAAAAAAAAAAAAAAAAACTTCATAAAATATCAAAAAAAAATATCCCAAACAATCTCACTCATCCAATTATTTTATGAAGCAACTTGCAAAAGGCCCAATTAATTTATTTGTTTTTACAAATATTTGAACCTTACACCTGTACAATATCACAGAAAAAAACAGCCACAGATTGTCAAAGGCCAATTTGTTCAAGCCTAATTTGAAGTAGTTTTCAGCTTAATTGTGCAGTGTATATTAGAACATTTAAATTAGCTATGGCTTGCTTGCACCATAATTATGCCTAACATTAATGCACACATGCTCAACCTAAAATTGCTTAAGAAGTTTGTCATGAACCTTAAATTTATATATTTACTTGTGTACCACTTTATTATCTAAGACTTCATTTGGAATAACTTTTTTATTGCTTTTCTTAAAACAACTTTTTAATATAAATTTTTTTTTTTTTACTAGAAAATTGCTTTAAGAAACAGTAAAATAATCAGTCTCAAACGAACCCTAAATCACATAAAATAATCCTTTACAACTTCAGATAGCTTATCTTAACACAGACACAAGTCATTATCAAGCTTGCATAAAAAATCCTCTTAATTATTCATCAATAGACTCAAAAGTAGACAAAAACAAGGTAGGTATCAGTGCAGTCTCCTGCAACCCAAAGCATCCTGAGCAAGAATCTAAAAATACTATATAGTATTCTTCAGTAGATGAACACACTGTCACAAGGCTAGTTTAAGGAATATGGCATCAATGGTCTTTCATTCACAAGTATTACTTAATATCTTAAATTGTTAAAGGAATTAGATAAAAAACCGCAACCTGAATTTGAAGCCTATCTTCCAGGTTTCGATCAATGGAGATGCTTAGTATGAGTTGCAATAATGCTGTAAAACAGAATTATATTCTGTGCGGACGATGAACGTCATCCAAAGACCAATCAGAATGCGCCATGTCACCCCTGTGCTCGGTACCGCGGCTCGGTACCACTGATGTGTCGCATTTTGGTTGGTCTCCAGACGGCGTTCTGCGTCCGGTCTCCGCACAAAATAATTTATCATAAAACAGAGGACATATAAATGGATATGAAAAAAATAAATAAATAAATAAATAAATAAACCATTTGACTTTGATGATAAGAATTTGGACTAGATTTAAGTTTTTTTGTAACCTGAATATGATCATATTGGACACTTGAGCATGAAATAGAGGAATCATCAGCAAGATGAGAGCAGATTTTCATGTTGAATGAATGGATAGATATGTCATAGTGCTTTCAGCATCAACCCCATTTGGTGCTTAGAAGGAATAGCTCACAGATCGGATCAGCCTAGCTGCAAACGACCCATCCATAGAATGTTTGATTGGATCAGAATTATAGAAGCCGTTTGCACTGACAAACCCAGCAGGAACAAATCTATGTACAGGATCCACAGCAAATTCCTGGAAGACTTTTAAATGTAAAGATTTTCCATAGAAACATACAACAACAACAACAATAACAACATCAAGCCTTTGTCCCACTACGTGGGCTCAGCTAGATGAATCTTTTTTCTCCATTGTGTACTGTTAAAAGTCAAATTATCGTTTAAATCTAACAAAGAAAGATCATTTCTAATATTTTCTAACCAAGTCTTTTTAGGTCTACCTCTACCATAAGTCAAATCTAATACCTATCTTTCCTAATCGGGTCATCAGAATGCCGCTGTTTTATGCGACCAAACCATCTAAGACGACTCTCTCTAATCTTATCTTCCATTGGCGCTACTCCAACCTTTTTACGTATATGCTCATTTCGTATCCTATCTCTAAGGTAAAGCCACTCATCCACCTACATTAAAAATAAATTACTCGTTACAATATAAACTTCTAAGGTTAAAAAAATATATATCAGAATGTTGATGTTGCCACAGATTATTTGCCCTGCACAAGAAGCATGTATAATAGGAGAAAATACTTTACTGTCAAACAACAAAAAGCAATAGCAAAGTTCTAATTAAAAAACGGGAAAATAATAGATCTTCAGTTTCCTCTTTTGCTATTCAACATGGAACTATGAAATATTTTGCAATAATCAGCTCATACCCGATGCCTGAGTAGGAATGCTGCAACCCTCTCCTCATTTTCCTCGGGGTCAATGGAGCAAGTGCTATAAACTAGAATCCCACCAGGCTTTACCAACCTATTTATGAAATTATATCAGGACAGATTCATAAGACTGATTTGTTTCAGAGCAATAAGAACCGTTGATTATAAATTATGGAGTAATAGTAAAAGCAAAGCGTAAACATCTGTAAGGCTTGATAGGACAGGCATGACTGCATGATCAAATTTCTAACAGAAAATTCAGAGAGAATAGAGCGCTTGTTTGTCTTTTAACACCACATTCATACAAACACAGTTCCAGGAGAGGTGAAGAACATGGCATGTAGGTGGGTGAAATAGTTTAAGAGAAAAAAGTTGATAAATTTTGCATAAAGTTCGAGAAGTCACAAATATTTACTTTTTGCATAAATTTTGCAAAAACTTACAACATGATTGCTTAACTACCACTTTTAATGTTTGACAGCCTTCATTAATGTCCTAGCAAAGCTTCCTCTATTATACACAAAATTTAAGTTTCCTTCAAGTGATGCTAGTACAGTTGATGCAAATGTCTAATCTAGGACTTTTTTTCTAATCCTAATCTAGGACGAGATGCAAAAAGCCACACAAAAGATCAAAATACACAATACATCAACTCTTAAATTAGGCAAAAACTTCATCTCTTTTGATTTAATAAATAAAAAATAAATCAACAGAACTTGCTTCAAAATGATAATTTTAAAAATTATCTAAAATAAATTTATATGAAAAAATTTGAGACCGATTATCACATGACAATTAGGATTCACACCACAAGAAGAAAAAATTAAAATATAGCAAATATGACTTAATCTCAATCACATATAAAACGAATCACCAAATATACAGATGAAATAAAAAATTAAGATATAAATCACCAGATGGGAGATCCAGACGCCGCACAAATACAATAGGCAGCTTTTCTAGAAAGTTATCATATCAGTTGCAACAAATTAGTAGAACTAACATCAAACAACACACTAGTTTGAGAAGAAAATAGACTGAAATTTTGCATGCTTTGATGGTTATATAATAATTAAGATCCAAAAATATTGTTATATCAAATCTCAAAATTTACAAGTCCTGATTTCAACAATCTTAGAGGATGGCCACAACAACAAAATCAATCATTTATTCCACTATATAGGGTCTACATGAATATTTTTTCTCCATTGTGTCCTATTAAAAGTAGTGGGGCAAAGGCTTGATGTTGTCGTTGTTGTTGTTGTTGTATCCTATTAAAAGTCAAATTCTCACTTAACTCTAATATAAATTAAAAAGTCATTTCTAATACTTTTTAACTACGTGTTTTTAAGTCTACCTCTACATTTCTTAACATAGACCAGACCTACTACATCAACTCTCCTAACTGGGTCATCGCAAGGCCAACGTTTTATGTGTCAAACCATACTCTCTAATCTTATCTGTCAATAGAGCTACTCCAATCTTTTCACGTAGATACTCGTATGCACTCTATCTCTAAGTGTAAAGTCATTCATCCACCTGAGCATCCTCATCTATGCAATATTTCTACTTCAAAATAATCTTTTTCCCGATATCAATCTAAAGCTCCTCAATTCCTATTTGTAGCTAAATCAATCAATGCAATTACAAAAACCAGAATATTTTACCCCTTAGATCCCAAAATCCCCCTTTCTCCTCCTTCAGCCATAATCAGTCTCAAACCACCCCAGGTGCTGCTCTAGGACGAACGCTCCCAGCAAATCCCCTGCACGTCTCATTTGGCTAGGTAGAGAGGTTAGGTATAAATGAAATTAACCATGGCATAATACTGATTTACACTATGCTTCACTGCCACAAAATTCCCTCACATTAAATGCATGCGGCCCTTAGTGAGTATCCCAAATTTGGATACCCCTGCTACAATGCATTAGTGGAATAAACCGTAACTTAAATTTTAGTTTAGGAAACAATTTTATAAAACTAATTTAATTCAGAAGTGCTTATATACTTAAGATAGCCTATATATATATATATGCACACAAATGATCAGGACAATTTTAGAATTTTATAAAAAATAATATTTATAAATTCCAAAATATGCGAAAAATGGGATATATTAAATTTGAGACTTTTATCTTTTAAAATTTTGAAATATTACAACCCTCTTAATGAATCCTCCTATCAATCCCATTTCACCTACTGAAATAGAGTTAATCTTAAAGCTGATTGGATGAGGTAGAGCTCCAAGGGCCTCAAGCTAAATCTAGAGTTTGAGATTAGAACATAGGAGCCAAGTTGATATTGGAATATGAGAACCAAGTCATAACTGAGCAATCCCACGGCTTAACGTTGAGATCAAATTCGTTACATCCCTAGACAGGATTCCAAGTCTTATGAGGTATGGCACCTTAATCTCTGATGTAATTCTTCAGGGTTAAAACTGATAGATCATATTATAAGGCATTAATAATTCTAAATATTTTGAAATGCCCAAATGTGTGAACTCACCTGGAAGCAGAATCAAGAAGTTCATCCTGTAATTGCTTCAGCTGCCCCAAGTCTTCTAATCTTCTATTCCACCTCAAATCCGCTCTCTTACACAAAAAGCAGAAATGAAAATGGGAAGACCAATAAGCAAGCTTTCATCACAAAAATTCAAACAAGTCTAACAATGTATATGCCAGGCAAATTACTAGGACGGATTTGTAAAAGGAACCAAAATAAAAGAAAAAGGAACCTCAAAATGATCAAGGCACATATCGAAGAGCTATAAATTTGTAAAGAACCGAGCTTTTTTTTTTGTAATCTAAACCTCAAAGACTCTAAAAGTTACAGACACAAGCATGAAATTGTGTTTTACCAGCAAAGACTAGTGAACTTTCAAAGTTCTCAATCATGTTTCCATGGCAATGGATTTCCATATAGTATTTAAGACGAAGCAAATTTCCAAAGCACAAATGAGTTATATCAAAGTAAATCAAGATAGGAATTTCACCCAAGTCCTCAATTTTCTTAGCACACACTATACAATGAATCACAATTCTACTTCTATATTTCTTTTGTTTTATCAAAAACTCTCTCATGCAATGAAAGAAACTTATAGCTTGCCAAACAGTCCAATATGGTTCAAAGATAACTAGTCGAGGATTATAATCAAGTTTCCTGCGGAAAAGAACAGAAGGTTGGTACAAGTAAGAAGTACCTTGGACAGGACACCAAGACCAGAACAAGGAGCATCCAGCAATACTTTATCAGCCTTCATAAGATGGTTTACCTGCAAGGAAAATCAAAACTATAGGTGAAATGATCCAACAGCGTTTAGGTAAAAATCTGTTATTGGAAGATTTGCTGACAGCGACTAAAAATTATCTAGGTTATAACAAAAGAAATGGATTGAGCTAGCACTTCACATAGATCTAGCGATTGAGACCATCAAGGGTCATTGCAACAACTTGATGGCCAATACATCACCCATCAATAAAACTCATTTGGCTAGTTGATTAGTTTTGATTTCCTTTTATATCAGTATGAGTATATAAGTATCAAGAGTTGATTTGTTCATTATTAGTCCATTTGGATCATCAATTTATTTTCTTCATTTCTTATTGAGGAAATTTTATCTTATTATAAATAGCCTACTCAAGATTTACTTGAGGACTTTTGATAATTTTGATGGTTCGATTTATTCAAGTGACTTGAGGGCAATCTAGAGTAATTGTTACTTGTCTCTATAATAATATGATAGTCGAAAGTTTGAATTGCAACATTAACCTCTCTTCAATGCCATGAAAAGGTTGTGTAAATCAACCCCTTCCTAAACCAAAGCATTGAAGTGTCGTGTCGGATGCGTGTCGGGCACTGCATGCCTTTTTGAGGAGAAGTGCCGGTGCATCATAGATTTAGAGCATATTTTATAAACTAATGTATTTCTATTTCTCCAATGGAGAATAAACCTAATTTAACCAACAGAAAGAGTTTTAAAGAGCTCTGAAATTTAATATGGAATTTCATACACCATGATATCTGCCTAAATGTCAATGATGTATGATACTAGGACAATACAAAAGTAAGTATTATATGCATAAGTAATATTACTTTCTGATATCATAATCCCCAACGGGAGAGTAATAGACCAAATAACTTCTGGGCCAGATTTTGTCCTGTCAGCTCGACATTTCCAAATGGCTAGACCCAGTCCGGCTTAGCATACTACATTGCTTTTGGCAGCCTCGTCCGGGGCATGACCCATACAAGTTTGTTGTAGCCCATGCCTGGTCCAATATATACTAAAATAATTAACTTAATTTAAAATATATTACATATATACAAATAATTCACATGGATCCTCAAATGTCTTCAAGATTTAGGTTGGATCTTAGACCGACATTCCAAAGAACAAAAACCTCGATCTTAAGCCTGTAATCACTGCCAACTTAAGGTTGTCCTCAGATGGAAAAAGCAAAAGCAAGATAATTTTATAAGTAAATAAAAACAACTGAAAGTTTCAAGCAAAATGATAAGCATTTACAGCAAATAAGCAATAGTTTTGGTACTATAACACTATAACAGTGTATCAATTCAGCTTGAAAATTTTACTCACACAAAACAAACGAAGGTCCGCATGAATGGCAGTGATAACAGTATCTACATTGTGTATCTTGGATGTTTCTTTTAGCACTCTCAAACGGGCTTTATTTATATCAACTGCCCACAATCTACCTGCCAAACAATAATGCAAATGATTGCCAAACTTCCACAACCTGTATGATAACATGAAGCCATGAAGCATGGACATGCTACAAGAATGTCGATGAGAAGTAGAGAAAATTATCAAAATAGTCTTTGATTACTTGTCTCAAACTATATAAAAGTCTGATTTAGTTCCCGGACATCTTAAATAGGAGATGAAATAATCCCATCATCAAAAGTAATTGATATTTTAAAGTTAAAAATGAATGAAAGGAGTCAAAAATAAAGGTAATTAGGGAATACATATCTTAAAATTTTTTAAAATCTAATTTTCTATTTACCTTATTTCCTCATGTGTGGCAGCTAACTTCGCATATAATATGAGTGGATTAAATCATATAGGTCGTGGAGTAAGATGTTATAATAAATAATTTTGTTCGATATGTTTCTATCTTGATTGCATTGTAACAAGATACAATGGGTTTAATGTTTAATGTTTTTGAATATGAAAGTTTAAATTTTTATATTAATTTTATTGAAATTATTTTTTAAAAAAGAATTAAATGTGTTTTAATAACTTAATTCTTTACATTAATATAATAAACAAACTTAAAATTAAAGAAAGACTCGCAACAACAATAAAATCAACCCTTTATCCCACTATGACAAATACACAAATCATTTTTCTCCATTATATCCTATCAAAATTGAAGAAAGACTCACAAATATCTAATATTAAAAAATATCCTTAATCAAGTAGAAGTGAGCATTTCTTCAATTTTGAATTTATTTCATATATTAATGAAAAGAATTAAATAATTGAAACACAATTTATTCTTTCTAGAAAAATAATTTCAATATACTTAATATAAATATTTAAAACTTTAATCTTCATAAATGAAAAAATTAAACTAAATGTCTTTCATTACAAATAAATTAAGATTAAAAATTGTCAAACAAAGCCCTTCATTACAAAGATCATCTCATTTCATAACCTGCATAATCTCAATTCACTCTTGATGCACACACAGTCAACCAGTGTACATAGGAAAACAACAACAACAACAACATCAAGCCTTAATCCCACAACGTGGGGTCGGTTACATGAAATATTTTTTCTCCATTGTTTCCTGTTAAGAGTCAAACTCTCATTTAAATCTTATAAAGCATATCATTTATAATATTTTCTAAACAAGTATTTTTAGGTCTACCACTACCTTTCATATAACATAAGCCAAATCTAATGTATCTACTCTCCTACTCGGGTCATTGGAAGGCTCCATTTTATGTGACCAAACCATCTATAAAAAGACTATCTCTAACCTTATCTGCCACCGGAGCTACTCCAAGCTTTTCCCACATATGATCTTTTCGCATTCTGACTTTAAGAGTAAAGCCACTCATCCACCTAAGCATCCCCATCTCTGCAACACTAAACATAATTTTATGCTTCTCTTTTAATGGCCAACAATCAGCAATAAAACATTGCATGTCTCACCATCTTATAGAATTTTCCCTTAAGTTTAAGGGGTACTTTTCTATCACAATAAACCTAATCATTCCTCCACTTCAACCATCCAACTTGAATTCTACTAATAATATCCTCATCTATTTCACCATCACTCTGAACAATAAACCCAACTACCCAAGATATGTAAAACGTGTACTTTTATAAATGACTTAATCGCCCAAAGTCACAATCCCCTGATTATATCTATTACAACTAAAATTATACTCCATGCATTCGGTTTTAGATCTACTCAAACGAAAACCTTTATACTCTAAGGTTGACCACCATAATTCAAGTTTACTTTCAACCCCCTCTCTAGTCTTATCAACAAGAAGAATATCATCAGCAAAAAACATACACCAAGGTACATCCTCTTGTAAATGTATATTAAGAGCGTAAATGACAAAAGCAAAAAGACATGAGCTTAAAGTTGATCCTTGAGGTAATCCAACTGCAATAGGAAAATACTTGGTCAAACCACCTTGTGTTTGAACACAACTTCTGCATATATATCCTTAATGACTTGAATAAAAGCATTATTAACCTCTTTCTTTTCTAGAACTCTCCATAACACTTCTCATGGAATTTTATCATATATAGATCCTCCTTATTCTCTCTATACTTCTACATCAAACCTCTCAATAAATGTATAGCTTCCAAAGTAGACCTACCCGACATAAATCCAAATTGATTTCGACAAACTTTAGTTTATGTCGTAAACTATACTTAATAACTCTCTCTCATAGTTTTGAAGTAAGACAACTTAATTTCCCTATAATTCACACACTCTTGTGCATAAGCTTTATTCATAAAAAAAAGAATCAAAACACTCCACTCATCTGACATCTTTTTAGTCTTCAAAATAATATTGAAAAGTTTCGTAGGTCAAGAAATTCTTTCATCTCCTAAGCATTTCCACACCTCTATTAGAAAATGATCAAATCCAATAGCTTTTCTATACTTCATTTTCTTTAAAGCCAATCTAACTTTGATTTTATTAATACCCTGATAAAAATAAAAATCTTTATTTTCATTTAGAATGCTAAGATCACTAACTTCAATTGTATGCTCATAATTTAAAAGCTTATCAAAATATCTCATACACTTAATACATATATACATATATGTAAATATATACATATGAACCCTATATATATACACACACATATATAATATCCTCTTCTAATAAAAAGATTTTAATTTCATCCTTGATAAATTTTTCTTCAATTAAATATTTAATTTTTCTATCTCTTTGTTTGGCTAACTTATATATACATCTTTCGCTCTCCTTAGTATCTAATCAATTATATAAATCATTAAAAACTATATACTTTGCATCACATATTTCTCTCTTAGACTCCTTACGAGCTTTTTTATATTTTCCAATTTTTTTAGTTTTTACATTTAAACCAATTTTTATAATAAAGCTTCTTATTTTTTTAGCTTTTTTGTACATTTTGATTTCACCATTAACTATTTTTTATAATTAGGAGTTTTTCTTTCTGATACTACAAGCACATTATTTACAATATTTTGAATATCAATAGTTATTTTTCCCACATAACATTAATTTCCTCATGTACAGTAAAAATCTTCAGATCTTAAATCATACTCACAAAAATATTTTTATTAGTGTTATTTAAATGCTCCAATCTAATCTTGAGACAATATTTTACTTTATTTTTCATATCTCACCCCTTCATCTCAAAGTCAAAAACTAATAGGCAATGTTAAATAGATAAACTTTCACTCAAAATAATTTTACAATCTTTGCAATCTAAATGACTTATTTTTCTTAAAAAAAAATGATCAATCTAAGTTTTACTATATTCCTCTCTTTTCTTAAATAAAGATGTTAGTAATTACAAATCATAAGCTAAAGAAAAATCTAATATGATATTATCACCTTCATTAGCCACTTCAAACCCATGACTATCATGAATGTTTTTAAAATCTTCTACCTCTCTACCAATATGTACATTTAAATCTTCTCAAATAAAAACACTTTTTTCAATAGGTACCTTTTGTATTAATTCTTCTGAGTAATTCCAAAATTTAATTTTAAACACATATACAAATCTATTTGAGCAGCATAAACACTTATAATATTAATAATCGGATTAAATTTCAAAACAGTCCCCCGACTATTCGTATGTGGCCATTTTAATCCAATACTTTAATGTTACTCTACAAAATTATTCCAAAATGGTCTATTTAGGACTAAATTGGGATCAATTTTGTAAAGTTGATGGATTAAATTATGATCAATTTTATATCACAATTATAATATAAGGGATTATTTTTTATCAATTTTGTATAGTCGATGAACTAAATTAGGGCAACGTGATACTATAGGACTAAATTGTCCATACACGAATAGTTTGGAGACTATTTTGAAATTTTTTTAATTAATAATCTTAGCATCAATAGCAATCTTTAAAACTATAATTCTAATTTCAATTATATTAATTTCTACAATATTATCGGTCAAACTCTTATATATAATAATGCCTATGCCATTTTTAATATCTATTTAACTTAACTATAATAGTTTAAATAATAAACTAACAATCTCTTTATCCTTCTCTCCAAACCATTTAATTTCTTGAATGCAAAGAATATTTATATTCCTATGAATCACAATATCTATTAATTTTATTAATTTTGCCTGTAAAAGAATCCATATTCTAAGTTCATATCATAATTCTAATTTCATGGACTAACTTCTTTGCCCGCATTGGTCCATGATGTGGGAACCATTGCTTATTTAACATTGTACCCAGGCATAAGTACAATGACCCTTGCATACTTTTCACTATATTCAGGTCATGCAACATGTTTCTAGGGAACGCACTAACATTAACACAATATATTAAAGTATTCATTTTATGATTATTCAATAAGTTTTACGTTGACGGTCTACTAAATGCAACCTTCCACTTTTCTCATCCAGAGCTTGGGAGTTGGGACCTAGGAATGACAGTGTTTGTACACAAGAAAACAAGATAATGAAAATTAGATTTTGTAAAAAAAATTAAATTATGATGTATATTCCAATATTAACCTCACATTTAACATAATCAGATAAATTTAACTTCAATTTCCATAATTTTTTGAAACAAGTCTATTTGACTCATATTTAAAGATTCATAAGACTACATAGGTCATTTTATGAACTATGGGACTAAAATAAGCAACATTATGATTATTTTCTCATAAAATATATATTTATTCATATCTATTAAAGATACCAAAAAAAGTCACATTATCATTTTGATCATTTTCTCATAAAAGATATGTTCATTCATATCCATATTTGATATATTTAAGAGCATAACATAAGCCCTTCCATCTATGTTAACAAATATGAAGACTCAATAAAATTATGTACAAATATAAACTTCGATAAGGAGAACATGAATATAAATATTAATGCAGATGGATCTCAACATATAAATATTTGCATACAAGTCCATCCATTTAGTTGTTGCGCAAATACAAACGCAAACAAGAATACTACTGCATGCCTAATAAGACATACATAGATACATCCATACTTATAAATTCAAGCACATTAACTTGCAAATATATGATATATTTGTATAGATACAAAATTATCAGTACAACAATGTTAGTGTTCACATCCATATTAATATCAACTGCCCATATTCCTACCAAACAATATTGCATATCATTGCCAAATTTCTACAAGCTATGAGATACATTAGCCATGAAGCATGGACATGCTGCAGGAATGTCGATAAAAGATATATTAATGCACACGCATATTTGATATATTTCCATCTATTTTGATGCAAATGAAAACACAGTAAAATTATGTTCAAATATAGGTTTACTAATAAGTGCATGAATATAAATATACATACGGATGGATATAGACATAAACATTTGCATACAAATAGGCCAACCTATTTAGCTAATACAAAGATACAAAGGGGGAAAAAAATACTACCATATGTCTAATAAGACATATAGATACATCCATTTACATATTCAAGCACATTATCATGCAAATCTATGATATATGTACATATACAAAATTATCAGTGCAACAATGTTATTGTTTGTCACGACCCGGCACAGAGACGGAAATTAATGAGGCGGGAACTAATGGCCGATCAGTTGATTTAAATTTCGTCTACTAACAATATATTTCCAATACACTGAAAGAGAAATTAAAACCTTAAAACATTTTAAAGTAAATGCTATAAATACCATTCTCTTGAAGCATCGCGCCTAAGAACATGTTTTCTACTCTTCTAGTCATTTAAATTATTTGAATAATATCTATTAGTATTTTGCAAATATAAAGTAAGTCACAACTCAGTGAGTATACCATGCTTCGAAATTACAGTAACATAAGACCTTTGGAATAATATGCATGCTCATTTTAAAACATAAAATAATTCTATTTAAAATTCATGTTGAAAATGATCATCAATATAATGCATATGTCATATCTTTATCAATTTTCATAAATAATACAACTGTCATAGGAGACACCATTTAAAATGGTAATAATAAAGGTACATCTATTTTCATTTTCTTTTCCATAACCTTTTTTAATTATACAGTTGGATATATTGCGTCCCCAACTAGTACTATAAGGGGGTGTGCTCCATTAATCAACATGCACATGCAACATTTTTATATAGTCATTTCATTTATGTAACACTCAAGAACTTTCTATAGTACATCTGTTGAACAATCATATTGTTTATCAATAAATTCAATATGATCATTCATTGAAATAGAAAAAAAAATAATGCTAAAATTTTATAATAATCATTGACTAACCAGTGCCAAATAATTCAATGTAATCAAATTAACAAAGCAACATAATTACTGTAAAAATAGGAACATGAACACTCACATTGTAATTGGATGTTTTAACAATTCAACTTAATCAACACCTTATCATTGTCAGCTTAACACCTACATAGTTAGGTTCTCATCATTATAATTTATACTTAACTCCAAAAATATTTTCTATATCTAATATTTAAAATTTTCCCCATTTATTAAACTCATTACTTAATATACTACAATTCTAATAACTAAAATCATAAATATTATTTTTTTACAATATAAATTGCTCTATATTTCTCTCTAATTAGCTAGGTAAATCACATAAATGCTCTCATATTTAATCAATTTCTAAAAGTGCTTATTTTATCACTTAATTTAATGAAAAAAATTTATTCTCCTCGGTCTATCATTTAAAAATATCATGATTATTCCAAAAATTTTACATTGGCTATCGACTACTTAATGCAATCTTGCACTTTTCTCATCCAGAACTTGGGACCTGACAACATCACTGTTGTTGGGACATAATGGAGAAAAAAGATTCATGTAGTCGACCCCACGTAATGGGATAGATGCTTGATAATGTTGTTGTTGTTGGTCTATCATTTAAAAATTGCAAACTCAAAGAACAGGACAATAAAGATTGCATTTTATGGAATGAGCATGAGAGCAGGCATCAGCAAGAAAATAAATAAATTATATTCAAGGAAATGAAACTCAAGTAACCACTACCTTGAGTTCTCAAGCGAGATGCCATAAACACGGCCTTTCCACCAGGTGCCGCACAGCAATCAATTATGGTTTCTCCTGGTTGTGGATCCACTACAGAGACCACAAGGCCTGCAGTAAATTTGTTAATTTAGAAGTATAGGACAAGAAGTTGGTGCTCTCAATCTACAAGATGCAAAGAAACATCTCCAAGTTTGCAGTAGAAAAACATTAACTTCCTTGTATATTTTAGGCATTCATCAACCCGGCAAATCTGGCTTAGCAATCAGAATAGAAAAAAAAAAAACATTAATGCCCAGTGCCTAGAATGAATGCTAGCGATCAACATTTAGAGCTAATCCTTTAAATGAAAATATCAAGGATCGGAATCAATATTAGAAAATACTTCAAATAAAAGTATCAATAATTTGTATTTTAAAATTAAATAGTCTAATATCAGCTTGCTTTCTAACTTTATATTAGCCTAACTAAAAACATAACACAATCAAAGCCACCTCAAAACACAATCCATATGGATTATCCATCTATCTATGATAAACTTCATGATTCTTTCCCGGCTACATGATATCATAAAGAACAAAACCTCTCAATATAATGATTTCACGAGCTCAATAGAAGGAAGAAAAGAAGAATGAAAAAAAAAAACGTACATATGTTGGAAACCCCAGCCAACTCCTCCCACCCATATAAAAAAATAATTATAATAACAAAGTGCACCAATATATCCACATCCACAAATAAACAAATAAAAATTTGAGACAAATACGGAAATTTTAATGAAATAGGAATCTAGATGGCTAAAGATGAAACCATAATATTCCTGGTAGAAAAGACCTTTTTCTAAAATTTTAAATTTAGCGCACAAAAACTCAAAAAACATAGATTTTGTTCCAAATTTAGGATGCTTTTAAAAATGGTTGTTAGTACAACTGACCTGCACTCTCATCCTGAACCGAACAGAAACCATCTTTCAGCAGGCCAGCCTGAATAACGGCCTGAATGAAAGAAAAATGAAAGGAAATTCAGCAAAACCTACAAAAGAAACTACAAACACCATAAACAAATTGAAAGGAGAAACATAAATGTATCAAGGCAAATGGACTATTTTCCAAGAATTTCAAACAAGATGGATGAATTCTTGTGGTCATTTTTTATTTTAGCCAAGTCCATAAGTGATGCAAGCAAAAAATTAGGAAAACCCTTATAGGAAATACTTGAATCCGCAAGTAACCCTAGGGTAATACTTGAGTTCACAAGCAAACCTAAGCCAAACGGATGAGCAAACAGCAATTTCTGCTGTTGACAGCAGAAAATAGCACCAAACCAGAGGAAAACAAAGGAAAATCTGGGAGAAAACCAAACAAACACTTGTATTCCACTAGTAGAAGAATAAAAACAGCAAAGATATAATTGATCCTCAATTCGAGAGGAGGATCGATCTCTCCCAAATCTCTAGACGCCGCTAGAGCCCAAAGGAAACCTAAATCTAAGAGATCTCAAATTTCAGCCCAATTCCAGATGCCCAAACCCTAGGAATACCAAGTATTTAATGCATACAAATCAAAAGGAAATCCCTAAACAATCCCTACATTCAATTTCCCTCCTATAATCCATTAAAAAACCTTCCTAAAATGAGCTCTCAAGCATCACGTGCGTGCGGCTGACGGAAGAGGCGGAGATGTTCCGCCCGTTCTCCGCCTGGGCAGGTCCCGCGTGGACCGAGTGGACCGGTCTAACAATACTCCCCTCCCGAAAATCCACCTTGTCCTCAAGGTGGAGATATGCTCGTGTTCCGGTGAAGGTGACCATCCTTGAGGTGACTGAAAATCCTTATTGTATTGCTGAACCAAGGGCTGCACGGAAAGAGAAACATCCCCTCCTTCCAATCTGATCGCATCAAGCCTGTGTAGTCCCACCATATAATCTTCCCCCACCTCTTGAATGTCCCTAACCATGGTCTTAAGTGATGTGATGGCTTTGGATAGCCCTGCATCTCCCCTTATGACAACCCTTCTCCCATCCACCATTAATTCCATCGTGAGTGCTCCCCAATTGTCCTTGATTTCCCCCAAGGTTTGCAACCACTTCATCCCCAAGATGACATCAGTGCTTCCTAACTCTAGTGGGAGAAAGTCCTCCCTTGAATCCTCTGGATGGTCAACACCACTCCTTTACAGATTCCCTGGCATTTCTCCACCTTCTCTGTACTCATCATCACCCCATAACAACCGGTGTCCACCAATTTTACTCCCAGTTGGTTGACGACCTGAGTGAAAATGAAATTGTGGGTAGCCCCACTATCAATTAGCACAACCACCTCACGGTCAACTCTCTCTCCTTTCACTTTCATAGTGTGACTCGGAGTGAATCCCACTACAGAGTTCAGAGAGACTTCTGCCACATCCAGGTGCAACTTCTCCTCCTCTTCAGATCTACTCCTACCTCCCTCCTCGTCTTCCTTGTCTTCACAGACAAGGAGAACCTGAAGAGTTCGTTCCTTGCACTTATGCCCCGGCATATACTTCTCATCACATCTGAAGCTCTTCTCCTCCATCTCCTTCTCTGTCAGCCTCTTGAAATTTTCCCCACTCCCTCCTCCTACTGGCTTCTCCCGGGTGGTCTCATTAATGTTGTCTGATGCAGGCCCCTTGAGTGCTAGAAGAGTGGTCATCGTCCTGTAAGAGCCTCCTGAGCAGTTTCCTCGAGCCCCTCTTTCATACTTCTTTTGGTCTTCCACCAACTAGGCCAACTCCATGGCCTTGCCTAGATTCCTTGGCTCCAACACTCTGACTGCTGTTCTTACCTCCAGTTCAGCCCCTTCATGAAATTCCCTTCCAGGGCTGACTCCGAGATATGATCCAACCTACTAGCAAGATACTCAAACCTGTCCCGATAATCTGCCACCGTACCTTCCTGGGTAAGGGCAAAGAATTGCTCATAGAAGTCTCCTCCCTCATCTCCTCGGAAACGCTCTAATAAGCATTCTTTGAACTCCCGCCAGCTTCGGCTAGGCTCCCGCCTGTCACACCACTGATACCAGGCTAAGACTTTTCACTCCAAGCACATTATCGCCGCTGTCAATTTCTCCTCCTCCGTCAGCCCATTGACAGCAAAATATCGCTACACCTTATAAATCCACCCATGGCCATCCTCACTCTCAAAGATGGGTATCTTCAGCTTCATCACCTTTAGATCTCCTCCGTTTCCCCGGTATCATCTATAACCTCCCATTCCTCTAAGGGGAAGAGTTCTCCAAGTGTCCCGATCATCCCTCCGACGATTATACTCGAATCCCTCTACATACTCTCCTCTTCTCCCTTCAAAATCATCACCTCGACGCTGAATTCCTTCAAATGCAGCACCTCGACGATGACGTTCCTCCCTTCTTCCTTCAAAAACAGCCCCTCGGCGCTGAATTCTCTTTTATTCAGCACCTCGGCGATGAAATTCTTCCCTTCCCCCTTCAAAATCAACACCTCGACGCTGGATTCTTTCAAATTCAGCACCTCGGCGATTGAATTCTTCCCTCCTTCCGACAAAATCAGCCTCCCGTTGGTCGTATCCCCTACTCATCTCTTCTCTAGAAAGCACTTCTAGAGGGGGCATGTCATTCTCCTCCTCCAGGATCTCCACCTCCGAATTCCTCCTCCCCCGTAACGGGTTCGGATTTCCTCCCATGCCATGGCCATCGGTGGTCTCTCATACTTCCGATGTCGCCAGATTGATCTTCATTTCAAGTAATTTCTTCATCATTTCTTCCATCACGGTGAACTTCCCCTCCAACCTTTCATTGTTGGAGGTGATTTGATTTTGAAAATCGAAAAATCTTCCCTCCAAATCAGATTTCAATTGTCCGATTTCGCTTTCCAAGACTTCTACCTTCTTCCCGGCCATCGTTCTTCCAAAGAATCTCAACGATCTTATTCCGGGAACGAAGAAACTGCTGAAATTTTCAGGATTTCAGCCGCCAACGGTCCCAAAAACGATGCTCTGATACCAATTTGATAGGAAATACTTGTATTCAAAAGCAAACCTAACCAAAATAAAGTACCACAACAAGAAAACTGCTGTCCACAGTAGTTAAACAGCCAAAACAGTGGAGAATTTAAAGAAAAATTGTAGAAGAAAACTCAAAACACACTTGGATTCCACTAGACAATGAATAAAATAGCAAGATACAAGAGATCCTCAATTCGAGAGGAGGATCGATCTCTCCCAAATCTCTGGCAACGCCAAGAGCCCAAAGAAAACCTAAATCTAAGAG